AAAACACAAATAAAGTCTTAGTTAAGTAACTTTGTAAAACCCAAAGCGAAATTGCATAATCCATAAACCGAAGCACAAATTGTTTTATTCAAACTTCAATTTCTACAAAACCTAAAATAAACCAAACAACAGTTTGATCACCAATCATGATGATGGTTAAAGGAAGCAAACAAACAAGAAGAGATTCTCTTGCTCTGTTTTGTTACACTTAAAAGAAAAACAGAGCATGTGTTCATAATCTTGAAGAATTCGTACACAAAGATCAACATTTTGAGACGGTGGATAAATCAAACAAATCAGAAATCCAACCGCAGAATTTATTATTTTCGAATCAGTAGAGAAAGATAAAAAAAAACGAGAGAGATTCGAAGTTTGATACTTTGATTCATCTCTTTGGAACTCAACCAGTGTTTTGTAGACCAGCAGCAATACCTTTCATGGTTAAGATGAGTGTATCTTCGAGTCCAGGAGCGTATTCACTCGTAGGGTTCAGCTCGATGAGTTCTTGCGCTGATTTGCTCGATTCCGCAATCTCCTTGGAGATGTGAGGTCGTAAAGTCACATTGTAACTCGGATCACGGATTCTCTTCAATGTGTAAGCTTGACAGACATTGAGAGTCGTAATGTACGAATCACGAAGTCTCAATCTCTGTTTCAAGTAAGGATCTCCTTCAAGAAGATCCTTGTGTCCAGCAGTCTGCAAAACAGCGAAAGGCGAATCAGAAAAGAATCTTTAAAATCGATACGAAAGAAATCAAGATTGCTCTGTTTTTGTACCTGGAGGATGAGTTTCTTGGTTTCTTCGAAATTGGCTCTGAGTTTGTCACCAAAAGGCCATAGTTCTTCTGAAACAAGAAGCTTATCGTACAAAGCAGCGATACCGGGATCTCCTTTAGCGAACACCATTTCTATTAGATCAATGGTGACTCTAAAGAAAGGCCAGTGTTTGTACATGTCCTGAAGCATATGGAGGTTCTTGACGTCTTTTTCGATCACGTGCCTAATTGCTGCTCCGAATCCCAGCCAGACAGGAAGATGGAATCTTGTTTGAGTCCAAGCAAAGATCCACGGAATTGCACGGAGAGATTCGATGCCACCGCTTGGTTTCCGCTTTGAAGGTCTGCTTCCGATGTTCATACGCCCATACTCTAGTTCTGGTGTAGCCTGCAACGGGATTTTAAGGTTCAGTGAGTTTTAAGATTCTGCCGAAAAATGGAAAATGAGTTTTAATAGATTCCGAGTACTTACAAGGCGGAAGTACTCGACAAACCGAGGTTCTTGGAACACAACAGACCGATACTCCTCGGTTGCAACAACAGCCATTTCATCGAGCAAAGTGCGCCATTCTGGTTTAGGAGAAACCGGAGGATGCATACCGTGCTCTAGTGTAGCAGCAGTGAAACGCTGAAGCGTTCTAAAGCATAAATGCTCTTCACCAAACGATTGCTCAATGACTTCACCTTGGACCGTGACACGGAGAGAACCGTTAATAGTATCTGGTGGCTGAGACAATATAGCAAGATGGGTCGGTCCGCCTCCTCTTCCGACCGTACCACCACGACCGTGAAACATCGTTAGCTTCACACCGTACTCTTTAGCAACCTTCACGAGCTCTTCTTGAGCTTTGTATAACTGCCAAGCAGCGGATAAACGTCCAGCGTCTTTTCCTGAATCTGAGTAACCGATCATAACCTCTTGCTTACCGTTAATCCGGTTCTTGTACCAGTCAACGGAAAAGAGCCTAGCAACCGCTGCAGGAGCTGCTTCTAGATCCGCTAGCTTCTCGAAGAGTGGAACAACCCTCAAAGGGCGTTTCACATGGCATTCGCGCTGTAAAAGCTCAACCGCTAATACATCAGAAGGCGCGGTTGCCATTGAGATAATGTAAGCACCAAAACTGTCTGATGGTAGCTCGGCGATGACATGAAATGTGTCGAGAACATCAGCGATTTCTTCGGTTTTAGGAAGATCAGAACCGAAAAGCGGACGTTTGCCACTTAGCTCAGATAATAGCCATTCCTGGCGGCGTTCTTCAGACCAGTCTCTGTAGGATCCGATATCTAAATGCTTGGTGATAGCATCCAATACATCGGTGTGGCGGTCAGATTCTTGCCTTATGTCAAGCCTCACAAGAGAGAGCCCAAAGGTTGAGACTTGCCTCAAGAAATCAAGAAGGCTTCCATCAGCAATTGGACGGTCACCACATGAACATAGCGATCGGTAACAAAGCTCAAGTGGTTCCAAGAACTACACAAATGAGTACAAAACATCAGCCTAGTACCGTTTAAAACCGGGAACTAAGGATTCTAATTGCAAAATTACCTCTTCCAAGTTGGTGAAAGTAGCTTCTTCAGGGACATCAGAGATTCCATTACTGAGCAATTGACGAGCACGTTCACGTGTGTGATAAAGCTTGTCCCTTACATGACCGAGAATCACACGGTATGGCTCAGTTGGAGGAATCGTCTTCCAGAACTCTGCAATCAACACAACGGTTCAGAATCAAATCGGTTCTGAACACAAAGCTTTAGAAATACAAATGTTCCAAGACGGTTCCTTTTCTTACCTATGTAATGTTTAGCAGCATCTTTCCTCGCATTCGCGTGAAGTTCATCAGCTCGCAGACGCAGTTCGTCAGTGCAACGCCACATAGACATCTACCAAAGCATGACAAATGAATCGAGGCGATACATAAATATAGAAAATGAGAAGACTAAATTG